CGGGGGACATTTGAAGAGGATCTGCAAAGATGCATTTTCCGTGGCAGGTGTAGTACAAGATACATGTTCATCAGAGCTGTTAGGAGGTCTGGGCGCTGATTTCCTGAGAGGGGTTGCATTTTGGAGCCTCAGATCTTCAGGTTTGCTGAGATGATTTTGCGTGACAGGTGCAGCACTTGGTATGACCTGGCATCACTTTTTCGTGGCAAGCGCAGTAGTTTGGACAGATGGACTGGAAAAAGCGCAAAACGCATTGGTACGAGGCCGTCAGCTCTGCACTAAACTTTCCATTTTTGAATGAAGTCTCGCAGAATTGCTTCGTTTTTGATGTTGTGAAGTTCAAAAATTGAGGAAGTGTCGCAACATAGCTGCGTTTTCAAGCTTGCAGATAGACAGATAGATAGATAGGTAGATAGATAGATGGATAGATGGATGGATGGATACATGGATAGATGGATGATAAATGGATAGATTAGGTGGATAGACAGACAACTACAACTACAACTGCGCTACACTACACTACTGCTATAGCTACAAATACAAATATACCACGCTACATTACACTACACTAATTACATCTAATTACACTACACTACACGAATTACACTAACAAATACAACGACAACAACTACTACCAGCTACCACAACTACAACTACAATTAAAACTACGCTACACTACACCAATTACACTGCGGCACACTACAACTACAACTACAAATGCAACTACAACTACAACTACAACCACACTACACTACACTACACTACACCACACCACACCACACCAGACTACACCACACCACCACTACACTACACTGCACTGCACTGCACTACACTACACTATACACTACACTACACTACGCTACACTACACTACACTACACAAAGTACACTAAATTACACTACACTACACTACACTGCACTACACTAGTTACACTGCACTACACGACAACTACAACTACAATACCTTACACTAGACTTCACTACACTATACCACACTACACTACACGACACTACACGACATTACACTGCACTATACACTACACTAATTACACCACACCACGGCTACAACTGCAACTGCGCTTGCCAATAAACTACTGTAATTACACTACATCACAGCTACAGCTCCACTACACTACAACTACAACTACAACTGCACTTGCCAATATATTGATTACACTACATTACAGCTACAGCTCCACTACACCACAACTACAACTACAACTACAACTGCAACTGCACTTGCCAAAAAATTGATTACACTACATTACAGCTACAGCTCCACTACACTACAACTACAGCTACTGCAACTACAACTGCACTACACCACACTACACCCAGCAGTTGCGGTAAGGTGACCACTGCAACCATTGCAACCATTCCAGAAAAAACAACTCCAACCACCTGTCGGTCCATCAGTGGATTCGCCCTGCCATCCGTGACTCACAACAGCAAACCTCTCCTATAGGTTTCCTATCTTTGAAACTTCCGCCACTGCCTTGTAGTTGTACTTGTAGTTGCAGTGGTAGTTGTAGCTGTAGTTGCAGTTGTGGTTGTAGCGTAGTGCGGTGTAACTAGTGTAGTGTACTGTTTTGTAATGTAGCGTGGTGTAGTTGTAGTTGTAGTTGTAGCCTAGTGTAGTGTAGCGTAGTGTAATGTAATTAGTGTGGTGTAGTGTAATGTAGTGTTGTGTATTGTACTTATTAGTGTAGTGTAGTGTAGTGTAGTGTAGTGTAATTAGTGTAGTGTAGTGGCATTAGTGTACTGTAGCGTAGTATAGTTGTTTTGGTATTTGTAATTGTAGGGGTAGTGTAGTGTGGTTGCAGTTGTAGTTGCAGTTGTAGTTGTCTAGCTGTCTATCTATTTGCCTATCTATCTGAAGTCTGTCTGTCTATCTATCTGTCTTCCTGCGAGTTTGAAAACGAAGCAATTCTGCGAGGTTGTTTTCTCATTTTTTGAACTTGACATTGTCAAAAACGAAACATTTCTGCGAGACCTTCTCAATTTTTGAACTTGGCAACATCAAAAACGAAGCAATTCTGCGAGACTTCCTTGAACAATAAAAAGTTGAGTGCAGAGCTGACGGCCTCGTGCCATTGCGTTTTGCGATTTATCCAGTCCATGTCTCTAAAGTATTGCGCCTGACACGCACAAGTGATGCCAGGTCATACGAAGTGCTGCACCTGTCACACAAAATCATCTTCCCAGACCTGAAGATCTGATGCTTCAGAATGCAACCCTCCTCAGGAAATCAGCGCCCGGACCTCCTAACATGTCTGATGAACATGTATCTTGTACTGCGCCTGCCACGGAAAATGCATCTTTGCAGATCTTCTTCAAATGTCCCACGCCTGCCAATGGGCTTTTGAAACTGCCACAAAACTTTCACGTCTTGCTCACTTTTGACAAGGTGCACAATCCCTTGCGTCTGCCACGCAAAACGACATCTGAACATCCAAAAGTGGTCCGAACATGTGGTGTTTTTAACAGTTTGACTTGGAAACGTGCTTCGCGCCACAAAGCCGTACACTTTTTGAACATGTCATCTTCCAAAAATGTTCCGAGCATGGTGTGTTTTGTACACTTTGACTTCGACATGTGCTTCGCGCCACAACAGCGTGCACATTTTCGACATCTCAACTTCCACAGCTGCTCCGAGCATGGTGCGCTTTGTACAATTTGACTTTGAAATGTGCTTCGCGCCATAACGGCGTGCAATTTTCCATCTCTCATCTGGCCAGCTGGCTCCGCACCCGCCGCTTTAGCGAGCCTACTTTTCGACCCTTCGGAGCCTCAAATCATTGGAAAAACACAGCGTTCGCGACTTTCCTACCTTTTCGCGCACCTGCGCTTTCTTTCTTCTGACTCTTTCTCTTCTCTGATCTTCTCTCTACAGCTCTTCTCTTCTCTTCTTTGACTCTTACCACCTCTGCTTTTCATCTGTCCATATTGTCGAAAGTTTGACTTCTAAACTTCCTTGGGCTATATGTACGTATAGCATGTAACGTTGTAAGGACCGTGGGAATCGGAATTGGAGCAGCTTACGATTTGCATTGCCACTGCTTGTCCCCCAGGCATCAAGGCAGCAACTCACAACTCATTGCCAAAATCAGGACGCGCAACATTTATAATGGGTACAGAAGAATGCTGTCCAGATATCAACATAATCTTACATATGTTGGCACACTCTGCGTGGCCATGTGAACAAAAATTGCGCCCACAGTGTTTCAAAGAGAACTGCAAAACATGCTGCAAAGTACCGGCAACGTTTCAAGCAAGATTAACCAGACCCTGGGCCTGGTCAGATTCGTCCAACATTATGTTGCGTGTGTGTGCCTACACCTGATCTATGTAGATATAAAGTGACATCGACAAATATGTCTACATATGTACATTAACAAAAATTGCCAATCATCAATATCTATTTTGTTTGGAGTTCAGGGTAACAGAGTCCTGGAATCCAGTTTGCAAGTGCTCGGGGTGTAAAACCATCGCTGATTACCTGATGTCCAAGACGAACAGTTTTACGCAAGGCGCGCGCGCACTCAAGTTTAGGCCATTAGAGTTTTTTCCCAAGTCTTCTGATACTATTTACTACGCAAAGTATGATGATATGATGTGTGTGTGTGTACTTGCATACATTTACATAATGACATGATATGTAATTACAGCATGACAGGGATGTTTGCACAACGAGGTGCACATTTACACAGTGACAGGATTTCATACAATGACATATTGACACAACGACAAGTATTCACGCAATGACATATGTTTGCATCATGAATTACATTACAATGCGTTACATTGCATTACACAACTCTACAACACATTGTATTTCTCTACGTTACATTACATTACTCTACAGTAAGACTCTACATTACACTGCATTGCTCTACATTACAATCCATTACAGTGCATTTCTCTACATTACAATACATTGAACTACATTACATTACTCTACAGTAAGACGCTACATTGCATTACATTACGTTACAATACATTAAATTTCATTACATTGCATTTCTCTACGCTACAATACATTGCATCAGATTACATAACGCTACAAAGCATTCTACGATACAGTATATATATAGATATATAATGTACATTACCTGCAAACAGAAGGCGGGCCAAGCCAAAGGCAGTACGCAAGAGGAACTGGTGAGGACCTTGCTCGATGTTCTTGCAACCTGCTTGACCCATATCAGTTCCAAGATGCCAAAATGACATAAAGAAACAATCCACGAGTGGCGTGCACAGAGTAAACAGGTCGGACACTATTGAAGGAAATTGTGGATTCAGGACTCGTCCCCTGACACACCTGGTCTGCCGCAGCAAGATGGTGGATTTGATGAGTGCGCCGAGTACAACGGTGTATTTATCTCAGTGCAGTACAGCATGCTGCAGCTATGGACACTTGACAGAAATGACACATGACATGTTAAAGGCAGCGTGGTGAGTGAGCAGAGTGTGGTTTGCCAAGGCCACATCCGCCGAAACGGACTTGTTGGGTTCTGCAGCACTAGCTCCGGGCAAAAATAGGCCATACTGGGAACCCGATAGTTCGCGTTGGTTTACTGTACGTACACCGGCGATGCCCCCAGGGTTGTTGTTGTACCCCAGAATGTCGCCCGCTTGCTCTTATGTTGTGGTTGTTGTTGTGGTTGCCCTTGTTGCTCTTGTTGCTCTTGTTGCTCTTGTTGTTGTTATGGTGGTAGTGTGATTGGTTTTGTTGCTTCTGTGCATCCCCCAACCATCTGGCTACACAGTTTTTTGCATTATTTTAGTTAGTAGCCAAAAATCGCCAAATAGGTGGTGGTTTCACGTTTTTTGGAGACGCTCGGAGCAAAAAAAAGTACCATAAATACCGACGTGTTTGGCGCCTCGGAAGCTCAAAACAATGGTATTTACGACGTTTTTTGCCACTTGCAGAAAAAACAACGGTATTTACAGTGTTTTTTAGACAGCACCTGAGACAGTTGTATTTATGCATTTTTCATCATGTTGCAAGAAGTAGTTTTTCCCTACCAAAGCTCTTGCCGCAGACTTTCTTATCTTGCTCCCCTCTTCTCTGATGCGCTCCCCCTGCCGTGCGGGGGTCGGCGAATTACGAGGCATTTGTGCGCCTTCGGAATGGAAACATGCAGGCTGCATGCGTAGAACAATGGGAGGAAGACACCTGCGGGAATCCAAGTGTTTGAACCGTGCCAAATTCAAATCGATGTCTTTTTGCAGGGCGACGAAAGCTCGAAGTGCGAAACCTCCTAAAAACACTCCAGATCTCAAGGTGCCATCAATGACAAGCTGTGTCGTGCCAGCCACCATGACCGCCCCTGTAGTTGCGTTTTTTGGGTCACAGGCTTGCTGCTTCACTTGACCTCAGCCCAATTGTGTTTGCATTCGGGTTGGTCCATGTCTGCCAAGATGCGCGAAGGCTCCAGTGTTTGCTGGCTATGCTCAAGCTCATGACTCAACCTCCATGACATGGAATGACCTGAATGCAGTCCAGCATTTTGTTTGCAGGAGTGCTTATGCGTATTAAACTTGCAACTTGCAATCAAGGTTCCTGGCAAGCGCTCCGGAAGCAAGCCACCAGAAATTGAGGCGCCAAATGCCCATAGTCACAACATCTTCTAGTGTGCAATAGAAGCATAATTCCAGAGCGACCTCCTTGCCAGCTGCAGCTTGAGAGGGATCAACTGCTGCTCGCTTATTTTAGCATGGTTGGATTGGGGGTTTTGGGACAGTGTCTTCATCAGCGCGATTAAATACTGTAGCAGGATTTCAGCAAGACTTCAACTCCGATGCCGGAGGGTGCTGCGACCATGTTTGGGGAGGACAGATCTAAGCACTGTGCTTGATTGCGGTCCTGGTTTTGCCGTGGCTCATTGTATGACAGACTTGGAAGAATTACCTCAGCAAATTTGCCTTCAAACATTTTATCCTATGTACCTCTTTGCGCTGGGCCATTGGCCCCTTTCTTTTGCTATCCTTTTCTCTATGGCTCTTCCTTGGCTCAAAGCCACTCGAGCGTATGCCAGGGGAAAAAGTAAGGTGACACGCACCAGACCCATCAAATTGACTTCGACTGCGCTGCAGCCTACCCCCGCAATGATACAAGTAGATGTGAAGAGTGAACAGGCCCCTAACCAGTTGATTTCGCTGGTTCGCGGGAGGACAGAACATGTCAGCAAGCACAGCACGATCAAGCAAAAAATCATCATAGACTTCGCAGGTTTGATTTTTTAGCTTCCGTTTGTCGTCCTCGTCTTCCTTGTCCTTCTGAAGCAATAGTACAACCCTCCAAACCTTTTTTCTCAGTCTGGGGTGCTTGCTGCAACCACCTCGTTTGGAAAAAGCAAACTATATAGCGAGGCTGGAGGCATGTAGCACGCGCCGATAGTACAGACTGCAAGATACAAAAGGACAAGAATTGCCTACGGGATCCTACGGGAGAGGATCTTAGATGCTTCTTGAGCCAACATTTCACTGAAGTATGCTCTTCTTGTGCCTGAGCTGACTCTTCTTGGGGCCGCCGCAGCTGTCTTTTTGTCTCAGGCACTTCTTGTCTGAGCAGGATCTTGTTTGAGCTGCTTCTCTGACCTATTTCTTCTCTGAGCCAGCTCCGGTTTGAGCTAGCTCCTCTGAGCGGCGCCCTCTGCTCTGAGCAATCTCTGTGCTCACCAATATCCTATCTCAGCTAACTTGCTTGGGCTGCTTATTGTTTGATTCTTTTTTCCTCCGAGCGAACCCATCCCTTAGATACCCTCTTCTTCGGGCCTCTTCTATGAGCATCTATGAGCTATTTCTTTTCTGCGCCAACTCTTCTCGAAGGCGTCCCCCCTCTGGATCAATTCTTTGATTCCTGTAGCCGTAGCGCTCACAATGCATTCGGCATCTGTCGGTTCATTCCACAGCATAGGCAGCATGGGCGCACCAGCAAATTGAAAAGTTTTCCACATCCTGCTCCCACAGGGAACTTTTCCGCGCACCACTTGAGGCGGTTTGCGTGCTTGATGAGACAGGACCCTTCGGTATTGCACGGTGCCTTTTTGAAGGTTTGGACCTCGCCTTCCCAAACTGCTCTCGAATTGCAGTCGGTTCTTTTGGAGTTGCCACACTCTTGCTACAATCTCTTGCTACAGCCTTGCGGGTTTTTTGACGTAATTTTCCAAAGGCACCCTGAGATTCTACAGTTGGTCCCCCGACGCGGAAGCATAGGTTCTACCTTGGCGATCCCAAAGGGCACAATCACAACCTGCAAAAGACATTGTTTTCCACAGTTTGGTTAGCTACTTGGCTCAACGTCGCCTTCACCTAATAAGTCGGTTAGCTACTCAATTCTTGTGCAAAATATGATACCCTTTCTCAGGATTCAAGGTATTTAGAAGCGTAAAATGGCGCTCCGATGCTTTCGGTGTGGGATCTTTGGGTGCTGCATGCCTTCGGGTAATTTGCTGAGAAATTTGGCGGTCCGGGCTGGATTCCCTGCAAGCAGGTTCAAGCACCGAGTGATGTGTAAGGACCCACCTACATGATTGCTTTTGAATCAGCAGGACCAGCCTTCTGCACAACGCGAGCACCAAATGCCGTGAACCCATTCCAGCTGCAGCAAAGCTTTGTGAGCATGTTCTTAATGCATGAAAAACCGAGGGCTGCAAACAAAACTCGGCCACGTGGGGGACCTTGGTTTTTTTTGCGGGAAGAGCGCAGACAATGCTTCAGCTGCGGTCTTTTCATGGGGGGGCCATATTGTTGATCTTTCCGATACTGGCGACGGTGGTGATAGTTGGAAGCTGTTGGTGCTGGTGGTGTGACGATGCAGAGGTGAGGTGAGGTGGGTGAGCGGATGTAATCCCATGGCTCCCATGGGTTTCGTTTTTTTTTGGCAGCTGGTTAAACATCATTTTTTTGCGCAAGCTTTCATTGTAGGTGTAGTGGGCCTTAGACTCATGCAAGCGCGCCCCAAAAATGCTTAGACAAAATAAAAACGGGTGCAAGAGCGTGTGAGAGGCGTGAAAGGGATGAGAGATGCGGGGATTTCTGGTGTGATGCCATAACGACAGAAGGGGTTTGACTTGACAGGGCCCAGTCTCGAAGGAGACGAGGGCAAGCCTCAACCATTTCTCAAGTTTCCGATGGTTCTAGCAGTTGCCCAATGCAGCCATGCCATGAACTTGAGCGGAATCCGCTGAGGGGGGGATGGGAGCGACGCTTCAGCTGCGAAGATCAGGAGCGAAACCACCCTTGGAGTTGGCAAGTTGCTGAGAATTTACAGCAGCACGTCAAAAAGGACCTGACAGGTCCTGAAGGTGAAAACTAAAGCTTTGGACCAGATGGCGCATTTTGAGGGCTTGCTGGGCCAAGGATAGCAAGAGAGTTGATTCTCCAAACCCGGTCTATATATAGGCAACACCTGCTCGTCCGTTCAACTTCCTTGGCTCGCCAAGCGCGTTGGGGTTTGCAGGCGCCCGGCCACATCATATTTCATTCGCGCATTTGCTTTCGTGGACCAGAGGGAACAACCATAGCTGGCGTCAGCTGGTGCTGATGCGGAAAAACCAACGCAGTGCAAACCACCACGGCATTCGCAGCCGCAGCTAAAGTATGCGGCGGAATGCCCGCAGACAGCGGCGCCATCAAACAGGCAAGGGGGGTGTTGCCTTCATGCCAGAGTCCACGTGGACGGTGGCTTACTGACTTACTGACTGAGCGCCCGCACCAAGCATGCTCCATCGCATTGCTTGTGGTTTTCTTCATTTTCAAAACCATCAAGCTTTGACACCCGCAGCCAGCATTTTGGCGGAATGGCCCCCAACATGCAAAGGGGCCAAATCGTAAGGTGGCTGGCGGGCAAGTCAGCTCAGCACAGAAGAGAACATCTCAGGATAAGCTGCAAAGCGCAGAGATAAGTAATCCTGAATGGAAGGTTTGCGGCATTGAGCGAAATCCTCGAAGATTTGGGACCACCTAAGCCCTTGAGTGACCAATGGTTCAGGGTAAGTGTTTGTGGCAGATTTCAGCTTGCGCCCCACCATAGCACACATGGAGAAGCAGAATATCCAAGTCATCAAGCGTTTGACCAGATCGAACGGGTCGGCCTTAGCGGACGCCGAACTATGGGAGAAGACCTTGTGGGAAGAGGAGCATGGCTGGCTGAGGTTTGGGGGTTTACCAAGCAGAATCCAAGAAGGCCGGGCGGCCGGGCCAATTGCCAACTACAGCACGTTGCTTTCAACAGCATTGTCGGTGCTGTGGACTTGATTGTCCACATGATGTCTCAACTTGTCAGAAGCCGCAGAGACCCATAAGCTGGAGACCCACAACCTTGGGAGGGGGGCTTCAATCTGCCTTCTGGCAGCCGTTCCACAAGCAGCCATGTTTCCAGCACTGCGCCCGTTTGTTCGGGGCTGGGTCCAGCATTCGCGGTTCTTGAGATGCGCTTGCAAATTGAGTGGGTAGCAGTGATATGATATTGCGCTTTCATGCGGCTTTGGTCCCTATCATTGCAGCAAAAGCGGACTTGGCAATCAATACCCACGTGCTATTGAGATCTTGCATTGGCAGTCAATACCCACGTGCTTTTGAGATTTTGCATATATGTGGGAAGAGGGCTCATGCACGTGAGCAGATTGCTGCCGCCTTGAGATGCACTGGAACTTTGCTCACGAACTTGGACTGGGTGTGCGGAGGCGTGCAACGGCAAGCGTTGCTGAGAAGATCGTCGCCTCGGTCCACAGGGTTGCTTCCCCAGCGTGTTCCTTTAGGCTTCACAGATGTCAGAAGCGAAACTAAATCAGGAGGTCTTGGCGGGGCCGTTTTAGACAGACAAGCCAGCGCCGTAAGTGTTGTATGTTGGTATGGCAGACTCCTGCCTTTTTCAAATAGCCTTAGCTGTGAGCACGGCTCGCGAAAGATTCTTTGTTGCAGCCCAAGTGACCTCCTTTGAAGCCCATTTATATAGTCATTTTATGTCATTTTTAAAGACACTGGATTCAAGCTCAGATATAGGGACAAGGAGACTAGGGCCGAGAGCTCGACTTGATTTTCCTTGCTTGTCTGGGAAGAGTATGCTGCTGAGCGGAAGGGCTTGCATCATGTTTGTGAATTGCAAACTGATTGAAAGGAGTAAATCAGAATCATGAGGGACGCGGGCGACGTTAACACAGTGCTTGTACGATGCAATTTTGTGAGGCATGTTGAACAAAGCTGCCATTCAACTTTCTGTGGCCCATGTTCACCTTGCTTAGTGCACTGGCATATTCTGATCCAAACGGGTGGTGGCAAGGCATATGCCGTCTGTTGCCCGGTTCTTACCCGCCACCCGTCAGGGCTGAGCAATGATGCCAAGCTTGCAGCCGGCTTTCAATAGACTATGATCTGCCAGCCTGAGGCACCATACAAGTAGCCAACTGGAAAGGAGACGCAGCAGCTCAATGCACTTGGTAGCGAGTGATCACTGGAACTGAAAGGTGCCGACTCAGCGGAGCAGGGAACAGGGGCCGAGAGCTCGACCTGACTTTCTCCGTTTTTTGACAAGTATACAGAAGAGGTGTCGTCGTGTCTGTGAGTTGCAAGCTGACTGCGACGAAGAGCAAAATAAAAGCATGTTGCTTGTTTCTCTGTTTGCTCGGGAAGGCTTTCACTGTTCCTTTGTTTGTTTCTTGCAGGTTCTTGCAGCTCTGGCGGCATATAGGTTCTTGACGCCGCCGGTTCATTGTGAGAAGTTCAAATTCCCAAATGTTGCAAGTAAGCATGCGGGACGGCCACAGGCCCACAAAAACACTCTTCATAGAGTCAACCCTTTAACCCCTTTCCATGTACATTGCGAAGGCGAAATCACAGGGGAAAACGACGCTACAAACACCCAATTTTCAGCAACCAGCGCCGCGAGCAAGAAAAGAGAAAATGGCGACAACAACAGCAAGACGTGGCCAAACGCAAGGGGATGAAGCCCTGCGCCATCTTTCCAACCCTTTCTCAAGCACTGATCGAAAAAATAGAACACTGCAAATACGACTGATGCAGCTGTATAGTGCGCGAATCACCGGGTTTAGAAAGGAAAACGACCAAAATGACAAGACGAAATCCAACATCAAACAACATCTATATACGCTGCAAGTTCTAGCCACAAGGCAATTTCCAGTTCCAGACCTGATGCAACAGTGAAATGGCCAGGCTTGATAATATTTGAAAACACGCGCAAAGAATTTTTTTTGTTGCAAAACGCGGCAAGTACCATCCACATGAAAAATCAAGAAGCTTGCAACTGTCATTGAACAGACTATTTCAGTTAAAAAGTTAAAAGCGTGTTGCACATATTGCTGCAACTTTCAAAATTTGGTTCCAAAACCTTGCAGGCACGATGCGTGCAGGAGATTCAGAGCCCGCGGAAAGTTCATGGCCCAAAATGCTGCAATTAAAGACTTGGCCAACAATAAACAAAACATAACAAAACAAAAGCGCAAACTAAATTTGCACAGTTGGTAATTTATTTTGACCGCCTTATCCCGTCAATAACAGGTTTCCTCATAGTATGGTGTAGTATTGTCAATTGTCGTTTTCATTTCATTAATCTGGTTTATTTTCAGATAAAACGAAACAATTTTCCCACTGGTTGGTGTTGGTATTTCATTTCCTAGACATTCTACGATGTCACACGCATCCCGTCCTCACTTTAGTTTCGCCTATTCTTGCACTGCTGTCTAAGGTTCAGGTTCGCGGATGGGAAACAGTGCTAGCATGTGCGCGGGGCTTAGACCATGGAACTGAGAGCCTGAGGCTGAAAGCTTTCCAAGCCCGGAGTTGAAGTAGCAAGTTTTTGGTTCAGCGGGCCCTTTTAAAGTCACAACCCTTGGCTGGTTTCCTTCCATGAAAATCAAGCCTTTTCCACCCAAACTGAATCCATATTCCTCAGCCTGGCGGAAAGGGAGCCTAGTAGTTTCAATCGGTTTCCATCCATGTCTAAATCAAAATCTCAAGTTCTGAATCCATTAATTCTGTTATCTACAGTTCCAAGTTCCTCTTCATGCAGTCCGAGTGTTTCCACCCATATTGACAATATTCCTAAGTTTCTCCAGGCTTCCATGTCCATCCACGCTTTAGCTGAAATCCAATGCTCCACGCTAAATCGAAAAGTGCTCCCTTGTTAAACCTTTCGGTTTACACCCATGTTCAGTCTATTTGAACTCGGCGCTCCCAATTTTTCAATGAGTTTCAGCTTCGCACTCCCCAAGATCTCAAGTTTGCCCTTTCTACTTGCTCAAGCATCTTCCCATATTCAACTGCCGCATGGTAACTCCAATGGTTTGTTTTCCCCGTTTGGGGCTCCTGGTTTTTTTAGCCAGGTTTCAGACAAATTTAGTTTCAAGAATGTTAGGCCTCAGTTTGTTTAGCTTTTGGTCCCTTTTTACATATTTTAGAATTTTGATTTTAAATAAACCATGCAGCCAAAGGATTTCAGCCGAGGGAAAACCTCTTGAGAGCATTTTTGCAATAGGTTGGCGCAGCTAATTTAAGCCACTGAAGCTTACTGAGAACCATTTTCGGCCTGAGGGTCGCAACCAGGTTTTTATTCGACCGTGTCTTCTGCAAGGCTCGGCATTTTTGCCGCCTATAAGGTGAACATTCAAATTTTGAAAGGTGTATCTTGGGAGGTTGGATGAGGATGGGTTTGCAAAATTGAGTCATTAGTCGTTTGTAGTGTGTCTTGGGACGTTGGTTCAGGATGGGTTGGCTCACATGCCTGGTGTGGCATGGAGAGCTGTTCCAGCAAAGTTCAAAACAGATGTGTGAGATGAAAATCTTAGGGTCTGAGGTTTTGTGGTGTGTCTTTGGAACGTTGGTTCGGGGTTGACACACATGCGTGGTGTAATCTGCTCCGGAAAAGTTCAAAACAGGGACGTGTGAGATGAAAATTTTCGGATCTGAAGTTTGTAGTGTGTCTTGGGACGTTGATTCAGGATGGGTTGGCTCACATGCGTGGTGACTGTGTCTTGGGACGTTGGTTCAGGATGGGTTGGCTCACATGCGCGGTGTAACATGGAGAGCTGCTCCGGCAAAGTTCAAAACAGATGTGTGAGATGAAAATCTTAGGGTCTGAGGTTTTGTGGTGTATCTTTGGAACGTTGGTTCAGGGTTGGCACACATGCGTGGTGTAATATGGGAGAGCTGCTCCGGCGAAGTTCAAAAGAGGGATGTGTGAAATGATAATCTTGGGTTTTGAGGTTTTGTGGTGTGTCTTTGGAACGTTGGTTCAGGATGGGTTGGCACACATGCGTAGTGTAATCTGTTCCGGCAAAGTTCAAAACAGGGATGTCTGAGATGAAAACTTTCGGATCTGAAGTTTGTAGAGTGTCTTGGGACGTTGGTTCAGGATGGGTTGGCTCACATGCGTGGTGTAACATGGAGAGCTGCTCCGGCAAAGTTCAAGACAGATGTGTGAGATGAAAATCTTAGGGTCTGAGGTTTTGTGGTGTATCTTTGGAACGTTGCTTCAGGGTTGGCACACACATGTGTGGTGTAATGTGGAGAGCTGCTCCTGCAAAGTTCAAAAAGAGGGATGTGTGAGATGAAAATCTTGGGGTCTGAGGTTTTGTGGTGTGTCTTTGGAAAGTTGGTTCAGGATGGGTAGGCACACACAGGTGGTATAATCTGTTCCGGCAAAGTTCAAAACAGGATGTCTGAGATGAAAACTGTCGGATCTGAAGTTTGTAGTGTGTCTTGGGACGTTGGTTCAGGATGGGCTGGCTCACATGCCTGGTGTAACATGGAGAGCTGTTCCGGCAAAGTTCAAAACAGATGTGTGAGATGAAAATCTTAGGGTTTGACGTTTTGTGGTGTATCTTTGGAACGTTGGTCCAGGGTTGGCACACATGCATGGTGTAATATGGGAGAGCTGCTCCGGCGAAGTTCAAAAGAGGGATGTGTGAAATGATAATCTTGGGTTTTGAGGTTTTGTGGTGTGTCTTTGGAACGTTGGTTCAGGATGGGTTGGCACACATGCGTGGTGTAATCTGTTCCGGCAAAGTTCCAAACAAGGATGTGTGATATGAAAATTTCTGGTTCTGAAGTTTGTAGTGTGTCTTGGGACGTTGGTTCAGGATGGGTTGGCTCACATGCGTGGTGTAACATGGAGAGCTGTTGCGGCAAAGTTCAAAACAGATGTGTGAGATGAAAATCTTAGGGTTTGAGGTTTTGTGGTGTATCTTTGGAACTTTGCTTCAGGGTTGGCAAAAACATGCGTTTTGTAATATGGGAGAGCTGCTCCGGAAAAGTTCATAAGAGGGATGTGTGAGATGAAAATCTTGGGGTCTGAGGTTTTGTGGTGTGTTTTTGGAACGTTGGTTCAGGATGGGTTGGCACACATGCGTGGTGTAATCTGTTCCGGCAAAGTTCAAAACAGGGATGTGTGAGATGAAAATTTTCGGATCTGAAGTTTGTAGTGTGTCTTGGGACGTTGGTTCAGGATGGGTTGGCTCACATGCGTGGTGTAACATGGAGAGCTGTTCCGGCAAAGTTCAAAACAGATGTGTGAGATGAAAATCTTAGGGTCTGAGGTTTTGCGGTGTATCTTTGGAACGTTGGTTCAGGATGGGTTGGCACAAATGCGTGGTGTAACTTGGAGAGCTGTTATCTCAAACAGTTTTTGTTTTGATATACGAACGTTGAAATTTTTGGCATTTGCGATGCCAACAAGGCATTGATACGGCGTGGGAGCGGAAACTGGGTGGGAAGAAACGGCTGTGATTGAACATTTCCCGGGCAAGTGCTCGTTTTATAGTTTAAGGCTTAAGTTTTTTTTTAATCACATGCTGAGCACTGCTGTTTTCATCTCTTGTGCCATTTTTTTATTTTCAACATACACCAGAGACACTGGGTTTACAGTAATCTCTTGTACCTTGATTTTTCATTTTCGGAAATAGGGGTCAGGTCAGCTTTTCATCGTGTCATTTTTTTTGCTCGGACCTTAGCCCTCCAGGTTTTTAAATTTGGTTTTAAGCTGAAAACCTGGGGCTGCACCCTAAGTTGAACGCCCAACGGGGATTTCGTTTGTTGGTCACACTTGGGGTTCCTGTGGTCAAAGGAAAGTTTAGTTCGAAAACTTCCGAGTCAGGAGTTCAGTAGAGAAGAGTGACAGTTCGAAAATGCGTGAATTCACGGGTGACAAACATTCTCGAGCGAGAAGCCCATATGTTTTTTCCGGTAGAGTGGCTTCCGCCGTCGCCGAACAAGGGTTTCTGTTTCCGCGTGTGTGGGCCTCGATCTGCGAGCTGCAAGAGTTGTTGACAAAAAGTGCACAGGACTCTCTGGCCAGAGCTTGATTTGCACTTGAAAACGCTTTGAAACTGAGGTCTACTCATGGTCTTGGCACGTCGGTTATGGCTACATAACATGATCACCCACCACTTATCCACAACACTTGTACATACGACTCTTTAGCACACAACATGTTCTTACACCACACTGAGAATTTGCACAGGTCTTGCGTTTTAACTGGTGGCTTGTGTTTTATGGATTGGGCTCCCCCAAATAGGCACCAAACTCTGCATTTTGGACCAAAGAGAAACCATGCCATTCTCATGGATTCATGGCTCACAGGTGGAACAAAAAAGATAAACCACAAGGCATGGCAAGTTTGAGCCACTTTAATTATCATACATGCTACATATAACTATAACTTGTAACCAGGTAATTCAAATTTTTACATCATATATACTTACTACATACTTAGCTCAAACCAACCCATCCAAGATTCAAAAGTCAAATCATTGTCATTGTCATAAAAGGCTGGGAAAATTTTAAAATTCAAAAAATGCTGGGAAAAGATAGGATTATGGATTCCCTTAAACGATTTTTTTCAAATAAGAAAATTTTAAAATTCAAAAAAGGCTGGGAGAAGATAGGGTTATAGATTCCCTTATTTGTTTTTTCAAGTAAGAAAATTGAAAATTAAAGAACAAACTACGTGTTTTTAATGAATCTCTTAAACGATTTTTTCTCAAATAAGCAAATTTGAGACTTCAAAAAAGGCTAGGAGAAGATAGGATTATGGATTCCCTTACTATGCCCTTATTTGATTTTTTTTTCAAATAAGAACTTTGAAAAAAAACGAGGATTTTATATGAATCTCTGAAACGGTTTTTTCTCAAATAAGCAAATTTGAAAATTCAAAAAAAGCTAGGAGAAGATAGGATTATGGATTCCCTTAAACGTTTTTTTCAAGTAAGAAAATTTTATAATTCAAAAAAGGCTGGGGGAAGATAGGATTATGGATTCCCTTAAACGATATTTTTTACCTAGGAAAATTTTAAAATTCAAAAAAGGTTGGGAGAAGATAGGATTATGGATCCCCTTATTTGGTTTTTTCAAATAAAAACATGTTTTTTTTTAAAGACTATGGTTTTATATGAATCTCTTAAACGATTTTTTCTCAAATAAGAAAATTTGAAAATTCAAAAAAGGCTAGGAGAAGATAGGATTGTAGATTCCCTTAAACGACTTTTTTCAAATAAGAACATTTTAACATTTAAAATATAGGGGGATTCCCTTATTTTATTTTTTTCAAATAAGAAAATTTGAAAATTTAAAAAAGGCTGGGAGAAGATTTGGATTATGGATTTCCTTAAACGATTTTTTCAAATAAGAAAATTTAAAAATTCAAAAAAGGCTGGGAGAAGATTGCCTTTTTTTTATCAAACAAATATCAAATCAAAATAAGAAAAATGATCCAAAAAAAATGTAAGT